TTTAAGAAAAATGGTTTTTTTTTTTTTTTTTTATTGAGAAGTCATAAAACAATAATAAAATTAGTTGGCGTTTGCTAAACCCCTACGCCTTAAGCATGATTCTGGGCCCATGCAAGATTTATTAGCATTTTTTTAAACCTTAATTGAACATGTGTAACTATTTGTTTGTTTACCTATGCATTCCAAAATTAATGAGTAAAACAGATGATAGCATTCAAAATATATTATCATCTTGTAAAATTAAAAGTTTAACAGATATGTATATGAGATAGTTAAAAGATCAAGTATTCTTAAAATTTAATCTCAGCTTTTATCGATTTTGTCTTTGTTTATTTTTAAATTGATAAGCTTGTTTAGTTTGAGATAGTTAAAGAATGAATAATGACAGGGAAGGTGAAAATTTGAAACTAAGGTTTGGAATTATCATTGAATAAGTTAATGTATATAATATTATAAATCTCAAAAATAATAAAAAATTTATTTTTTAATATTTTAAATAATATGAATTCTGCCAAATTATTAATCTCAAATTTGTGTACCGTATATCATTATTAGTAAAGAATATGCAAGAGAGAAAGGAAGTGAACCAGATAATCCTTTAGGTTCTTCATATGGGCCAGGCCAGAAATTCTTGGCCTAAATATTGGTTTTTTGCACTCCACAAGATTCTCATTTATCTGTTGTAGAATGCTAACCTAGTTACGCCACAAAGGCACCCCCCCTACTTAGCTTTCGTGGGAAAACTAAGCCAGTGGTAGCTCATAAGGAACGTACAATGCATACTTGTTGGTAGGATTGAGCATGGGTACGGATATATCTAATATTTGTGGGTATTTGATTTGTTCATATAGATATTTTACTTATATTTGTAAAGAAATAAGTAAGTATCGGATATGACATATACCTAATGACTCATATACTTTACTTATATTTTAGTTTTATATATTTAATTTATCATATAATATTGTGAAATCAAAATGTTTATGTTTTTTTTTCTTTTTTCTGACAGTGAAAATTCAATTGAAGGAAAATTATGTGGATTGTTGTTTATATTTCTTTTATTATTGTATATATATTTGTATATGTGTGTATACTTATATATTTTATTTTATATATAAATTTGTATTATATATATATGAACTTGTAATTGCATATTAATTTATGTATTTTCAATGTAAAATTTAATAAATATACAAGTATACCTGTGAGTATACCTATACTCCGCACGTTGAATAATGAATATAAATTTTTTATATTCAAGTAAATATTATGTATCAAAATCTTGTACTTGTCACTGTTCAAGTCAAGTACAAGTATGGGTCAATACTTGATCCATACCTACCCATATTCACACCTACTTGTTGGACTTTAACCTCAAACCCAAATGCTTATGTTGGTAGGACAGAGAATTGGATTCATTGTCACTAGCTGGTCTTAAACATCAAATGTATCATATGTCTATTATTAAACAAAATATGTAAGGATATCCTAATTTTTTTTTTCATATATATATATAAGAGGAATCCATTTATATATAAATTTTATACATGTACATTTACACAAAACATTAACTATTTATTTCTCTATTTTCAATAATTGAGATTTGTTATGATTTTTTAAGTGAAAAAAATAATTATCTTGAATAAATGTAAATAAATTTCAATTATTAAAAATAAAAAGATGAATGATTAAAAGTTTATATATTGTAATATATAAACTAGTATATAAATAAATCTTTATTCATACATATATTATATATACATACACAAAAATTTTCCACAATAGCTTCATCCTTGGTGATTGTATTGTTCACTCATAAACTGGATTCAAATTATGCTGGTACGTCGCACAAAAGATTAGTGCAATTCCCAAAACTACGCATCTTAAATTCCCCAATTCATGTGTGACTTGTGTTAATGGTGTTTAGTTGTGGGTAAAGAATATGTATTCGATCTATTGCAGTAGGTCAGTTCGGCTTCAGGCTTTATCATTATCATTTTTGTTTTATATTATTACAGGCGCCTCAATCTTACCTTTTTCCTTTTAAGGATTTGTTCTATTAGGCGTCTTAATGTCTATGAAATAAACCTGCCGGTTGGCTGGTTTCATGGAGATGTGTAAAGAATTTGTGAAACAGTAGGAAGTGTAATGGATCAGAAAAGTTTTTGGTTCTACAACTGGGCCAGCCCAGAAAATTTTTGGGCTGGATGTTGGTTGCTTTGTATTTCCTTCTTTTTTAGTAAATGGTTGCTTTGTATTTTACTATATTTTTACTTATTTAGGACAAAGACATGGATTCTTCTCTTCTCACTGGCTGACTTTATTAAGCCAAAAATTGGCAACTTGTTTACGATCCTATTTTCCTTGGATTAGGTTTTTCAACAACTTTTTAGGTTTGATTAATGCAATTTAATTAACGAGCCAAATATATATATAATGATAATTTAATTATTATGTTAAAAATAAAAGTGTTTTATAGGTCATACTCTTAAATTTTTTTTAGAGAGCATATTTCAAAATTTATTTTTAATTAATATTTTAAAAAACTACCAATTA